ATGAGAGTAGAGTCTCCTTATCATTGTTTAACCGCATCAAACTAACTGCTGTCTAAAATCTTGTTCAATTCAGAATTAACCAAATGTGATTTTTTTTATTGTTCTCAGTTTTTATGTACATTACCGGTAGCATGTTTAAAATATGTGGGTAAGAAGAGTTGTACTTATACCCGTGGCATGACCTAAATATTTGGTGAGTCAAATTTATATGGTCAATATTATAATAAATGGCGATACGATATTATGCCTGCCAAAAATTCCAGACACTAATGTTTATACCCTAATCGAAGTTTTCTATTTTTATGTTCAAAATCCCATGAATTTTTCGTGTCCTAAATTTCATCAATATTATTTTATTTCAAAAATCCGCAATGATTATTCCAAATTGAGGTGCTAATTTTGGTAATTTTTGCCGGCAGCGGCGTCTTACTTTTAAAGAAATAGGAAATCAGAATTCGTATCAGCAACAACTGCGAAAAAAATTAAAAATTCATAAAAATAAAAATAAAATGCAAAAATTAAAAAATTAATCTTATCGGCGGCATACATGTACTTACATTTGGCCGGGGTTAACCTCTTCTTCCCAAATCCTCGGCATCGTACAACCCTACCAAAATCCACATTCTTCCCATGGAACACATGAGATTTAAACAAATTGCCAAGTTCATTATTGTCGTACACGTTATTTTAATATATTTTATCTCATCTCTCCTCGCCAGTCAGTTCAGTCTCATTTTTTCACATCTCTCCCCAACATGCACACATGCTCCTTATGTATTGTGCACCTATCCTATTTTGCATTAATTACTAGCCTCGACTCCCACTAATAAATGATTATTAACGTCCTCTAATATATTCCGAATTTTAATTCAGTTCGAATTTTTAAACAGGTAATAAATTCATCTCTCTCTCAACCTCGTGAGCTTTTCACTCACTCACTTTACTTACTTACCTGCTTCATTAACACTGCCAATTACAAAAGGCCACAGTTGTGGTTGTGGTTTGGTTGTGTGTGTGGCTGGCTGGCTGGCATGGATGAGTTCTTGGGCACAAAAGATTTTTAAGCTAAATATTTAATAAGTGACACACGCATTATTTCAATGGAACTAGAGCACCAGAAGTTCCTTTGTGTGGGGCTCGATTTTAAATTATAAATTTAAATTACTTATTAAATTACCAGAAATAAGTATTTGCATTTTCACATAAAAAATTCTACATGCTAAAGCTTCGTATTTTGTGTGTAGGTATCAATTAAAGGAATAATATGTAAGTTAGTGGGAATGAATGAGTGGAAAATTTCCGGCTTGAAGGGTAGTGTTTCGAGTGCAAGAAAGTATTTTTTTTGTAGCTAAATATTTTGACCGGCAAGAAATGCAAGCCGCAAGAAACGACGTCGCGCAGTTGTACTTCCCACGGCACGTGGCTAGATTGCCCGTATTTCTTGCACTTTCTCCCAGTTTCTTGCACCTCGAATTTCTCACGTTTCTCGCTTTGCACTGCAAGAAATGTAGCAAACCCGCAAAAAACGAGACATTGAGGATGAGTGCAAGAAATAACGGGAGAAAATGGTTTCTTGCAGCCAAATATTTTGACCTGGGAGAAATGCACGGCGCAAGAAATTACGTCCCGCAGTTGTACTTCACACGGCACGTGGGTAGATGGCCCGTAATTCTTGCACTTTCTCCCAGTTTCTTGCACCTCGAATTTCTCACGTTTCTTATTTTGCACTGCAACAAATGCGAAAAACCTGTAAAAAACGAAACACTGTTAAGTGTGCATAGATGCATACTTAACAAATGTGAGATCTCACATTTGTTGTCCAACAATGTAGCCACCAATTGGTCCATTATTACGTATTCTTTGTAACCGTATATAGCAATTGGTTTGTTAATTCATACCTTCCAAGAATCAGTTCCACAAAAAAAATCGACATGGACGCACACTGCGCATTATTATTTATGATTGTGCACTTATCTATGCATTTATTTTCATACAGCGCTGAAAATAGAGAGCCTTCTTCTTCTCTTCTCAATCAGTTAAATATTATCACTCTGGTGCTAATACCGGCTTGAAAAAAGTGAACAAAGAGCTCCTTTCACAAAGAGCTGCTGAAAGTTGAAACTTTACTCTGAGCTCTTCTCCTATTAAATTTTTAATGTTTTCTGCTCTGTTCCATTCGTAACTTTTAACTTTCTTGGTCAGGTATATAGTTCGGAACGAAGCTCAGAAATAAATGCGATGCACTGCACACAATTTATGAAAAAAACTCACAAGACGCGTTGTCTCTTAAGCTATTTAGATAACAAAGTGCATCCCTTTATGCATGCAAACCGGGTCGGTTGGTTATAGTTACTTATCTACATTTAATACCAAGTGACAGGGAAAAAAAGTCTTATCTAATCTTAATATTCAGAGGGCGGATATGTATTTACGAAAAATCGCTGAAATATATAGGAAATATGTAGCATAAAAATAAGAATTTTCGAAATTTGTACTTTTGAACTAATACTTTGGACGTTTTAATCCTAATATGCAGAGGGCGGATATGTATTTACGAAAAATCGCTGAAATATGTAGCGTAAAAATAAGAATTTTGAAAATTTGTACTTTTGAACTATTTTATACTTTGGACTTTTGTCGCCTAATTTTTCTTTATGTAAACAAAATTCGTCTAATATCGTTGTAATATTTGTAAAATGTTTGTATTTTTGAAAAAAAAATATGTAAAAGATTTGCACATTTTTCAAATAAAATCGGAAATAGTTATGTATATGCCTGAAAAACCAAAAATGTGTGTAAAAATATTTTCAAATTTTTGTGATCTATTAGGAACACACCGACGTGGAAGTTTGACCATCGATATTTATCCAATGAAAAATTCGAAAATAAATACATATCCGCCCTCTGTTCTTATGTTGCAATTCTCTTAAAGAACCGAGCAGAGGAAAGTCTGTACCTATAATAAAATAAAGTTTCCTTTTTTATTTCAATTTTATTACACTTTTTGGTACACATGTTTAATAAACCATAACCTTTGACACTGACTGACTGACTAGGTTCCCATTACATCAAACAGGATGCGATAATATGCAATCAGTGTCCGCGGACAAAGGGACAATGTCCCCACGGTTATTCGATGTCCCCATCATCTCCCCATCTTATATAAACCCCTCCCTCCCCCCATCCTACAATGTTAATGTCCCCAGGTGTCCCCACCCTTCCGCGGCCACTGCATGCAATATGTAACCGAATGAATGGATACACTTAAAAAATTGCTGGGATCTTATTTCATTTCATTTCAAGCGTTTTCAAGCTTTTTCCGTGCAATATGCAAATTTATGTATTTCACTCAAGGAAATAAATCCGTTTTTAATCTTGTACAGAAAAAAATTGATTTCGAATAAAATTTCCTCGTTATTTTCTTGTCAGATTTTTTTACGACTTGTCCAAAATTTTAGGATTTCAGAGTTAGCTTATAGATGTATTTGTATAACCCTTTCTCCTCTCTGTTACTCAAAGTTATGAATAATTCAGACAGATCCATTACACAGGTTGCATAATTGTACGGCTTATCCTCTCTGGAGGAGAGGAGGCTTCAGTCGAGTGGAGTGGGGATTTTGGAAGGGCAGGGTAGAGTTGTACGGGTAACGATGTCGGGGGCATTTATGGCTTGCCGTATTTGAATTTAGGGCAAATGTTACAATAAATGGTGGGCTTGTTATACAAAAATTAATGGAATTTATTTTCTTATGCAAAACGCGATGAATTTAAATGTTTTTATGTAGAAAATTCTATAAATTTAGATATTTTCATGTCCAAAATGCCAAAATTTTTATATTTTCATTCCCAAAATGTCACGACTTGAAAAATTTTCAATACCAAAATGCCATAAATTTAATTATAAATATTAATAAATAATACGATGAATTTAAAGATCCGTATCCCGAAATACCATAACTTTATATATTTGTATGCCCAAAATGCCATAAATTTAAGTAGTTTCTATCTAGTCCAAAATGTCATAAATTTAAATATTTTCTTACACAAAATGCTACGAATTAAAAATTTTTGTTAGATAAAATGGCAATAATTTAAATCTTTTCATGCCCAAAATACGACTAATTTAAAGATTTGCATCCCCAAATGCCATGAATTTATTTTCATACCCCTGCCCATCGTACAACTCTACCTGGCGAAATCCATCCTTGCAATATCATTGATTTGCAGACACGTTTGAATTGAATTTTCCTCGAAAAATGGATCCATTCATTCATGAGTTTTTTAGGAGGATAACAAATTCGAAATTTAATGGCTTTGAAACAGGTGCTGTTCACATTTTTTACGACTTTTTCACAACATCCATCATTTCCAAGTGCAATTCCTGCCATTTTAACGCCTCGTTCGTACCGATATAAAGATTTCGAGTTGATCAAGTCAACTGTGACTCGATAATAAATAAAATTTCGGATTTTCGTACACTGTCCAAAATCTGGTGGAGTCAGATATACACTCCGGACTGGTAATAACTTCCTACCGGATTGATAATAGTTTGTTCCTCAGTGGTAAATTTTTCTTCACCGTAACATTATTAAGCGGTAATGCCCCTTATTACCAGTGCCGGAAGAGTGAAAAGTCAAACATCTACTCCGTATCGGTACCGATTTGGTAATAACTTATTACCGGATTTGTAGTAGTTTGTTTCTACCTGGTAAATTTCTCATCATCCTAACATTACGGTAATACTCGTTATTACCAGTACCGGAAGATTCACATCATATCCGCCGTACTGACATTGATTTAATAATAATTTTCTACCGAACTGGTACTAGTTTCTTTCTAACTGGTAAATTTTTAAATACCAACATTAATTACCAACTGGTAATACCCGTTATTACCAGTAATTCATATATATACTCAGATCAGTAATGATTTTATACCAATTTTTAGAGAGTGTCCATCTCTACATATATTTAACCAAATTTCTTTTTTCAAAATTTCAGGAAATCTTCTTCACTTTTGGTGCTCCAACTAACTTCTCTGCCTTAAACTTAACGCTCCCCTCATGAAAAAACAGCGACTTCACCCTTACCAAAAAGTTGTCGCACGCATGTGATACAGTGATATTTGACTAACTAAATATGAAGTGAACTAAAAACTTGACCCAAACAAGGAGGCAGACTGTGTGAGTGAGTGAGTTTTAGTGAGTGAGTGACTTAATGAAACCGTAATTTTCCCACAGTCCGACAGAAACAAGAAGAAACTAATTAAATTCAAGGTTGCCAGTTAAGGACTACATTTTGTGGAGAATTGTTATTAATTATCTTAGACATTATTAACCCACATCAGAATTGAGGACGTCGACGAGAACAAAATCCAGCGCGACGGAGGAAAGATCTTCATGGGCCGTAAACGCAAGACGAGATGGAGACGACTTTCAATTGGTAAGAAGAACAATTTTTTTATCTACCAGTTTGTCCCTTGGTGGTGGGATTGATTTCATATCTGGACAAAAAATAGGGTTATGAGCAAGGGTCACTCTAACCTTAAAAGTTAAAGTATTGTATTGAACACTGTATTGAGATTTTACATAGTTGGGCAAAGGAAAAAAATAGGGCATGCATGAGACCAGATTTAAGGGTCACTTTTATCTTTAACCTGATAAGAGGTTTAAAGGGAACACGGGTTTCACTTTCATGCATGTTTTTAACACGGAGTTAAAAAGTCGGGCATATTGCAGCGTTTGTCACAAACCTAACTGGAGTATCAGATTTCGGCTTCTGGTACTCTTGCACGTAATGATTGTTTCTGTGACGTGACGCTGGGTCGTGGGTAAAGTGGACTTGACAAAGGAAAATGCCTTTTTAATTGCTTAATATACACAAGTTACACTTTGTGATGTTTGCAATTTGGTAATATTTTTATGCAGTTTGAATTTGCTAAATTCGCATGTATGTAATTAATGTGCGAATCTCATTTTGTGGCCGTTGTATTTCCTACATATATCTCTAACAGAATGAGAGACACTATCGAAACACGTTTTGCACAAATTTTGCGCAAAACTGTTCGGCAGTCCAGTTGTGCATAAACATGTGCAAATTTTTAAGTAGAATTTTCCTACAAAAAGATACGAAATTTTGTTGATTTCCTTGCAGAAAAATTCGGCAGGTTGAGTGTCACATAGAAATCTCGATATTAAGGGAAAGCCTAATAGATCTAGTATTAAATCTGCTATGATCCAAATAACCAAGGAAAATAGAAGGCAACTTTATAAATACACACATTATCCACCCCTGGAGTTGGCACTTGGTGTAGAAAGTCGGCAAAATTAATTACCAAGAATGAAATGAGACCCGTTTATTTTCCTCGAGCATTTTTCCTCCTACTCGCCCACCCACCCACCAACCAACTTGTCCTCCGTCCTCGCACCCTCGTCGTGACAAAACAATAGCGTCCAGTCCAACCTTATTGATCAGAAACAGAAACAACCTTAGCCAAAAAAGGCCATCATCCATCCATGGCACATCGCATCCAAATAAATCAATTTGACCCAAAACCGTCCAAAACAAAAATTCTGGAAATTCTCCTCTGCGCAAAGTTAATTAGTAACTTGGCCATGAATGAATGAATGCAATGTTTTGTTTTTTGGACCCCTTCTGAAAAGAACCAAGGCCACTTTTCCCTTTCTTCTTTGTTCTCTTGTTCTACCAAAAAAATAGCAGAAAAGTTTGCCCGGGTGTACTACGATTAATGATTCAATAACGTGTCAATCACTGGTTTTTTTGAGGTTGGACCGGCAGCGTAAGATTAATTATGCAGGGTAGCTAGCCATCCATCCTTCCACTTTAGTATATACGCCACCCTCGCAAACAAGAAGCCTCCTGCTGTGGTGTTTTTTAAAGAGAAAGTCGGAATGCTTTCTTCGCACGGGGATAATTTTTTGGCGTCCCGGAGTGCTACGTATGTATGATTACAACTTTTACAGAATGGTGGATTGGATGGCACGAGAAAAATTGTTTTCTTTGTTAAACACGAATGGGTAGAGGGCGGATATGTATTTATTTTCATACTTTTTCATTTAAGAGACCAAGATCAAAGTGTGTAACAAAACCGCAAAAATTTCAAAATATTTTAACATATTTTTAGGTTGTCGGAAATATAAACATTTCCGGAAAAAATACGTAAACCTTTTGCACGTTTTTCATATATTTTGTAAATATTTCAACGATATGAGTGAGAAGAATTTTTTTGCTAAAGGAAACTCGACCAGGATAAAATTAGAGTATTCAATTTAGAAATACAGATTATACGGAAATCCTTATTTTTATGGATTTTCTCGTAAATATTTTGGCATTTTTTTCGTATATAAATATTAAATACATATTTCAGCAACTTTTCGTAAATACATATCCGCCCTTTGATCATTACAACTTTTTGAGAATGGTGGATGGCACCAGGAAAATTGTTTTCTTCTTTCATTTAAGTGAACACTCTAGAAATTTCCGAGCCACGATTAAACTGCAGTCAGTCAAACGTTGTACATATTTAACTCGTTTCCGTGTCGGACCGCATGCACCCACGGCATTCTTCTTCTTTCACTTTTATTGAAAATGATGCCTTCCTACTAACATACCACGAATTTCACTTACGGTTAGAAAAGTCCTGCTTAAATACGTAATTGACATTTCGGATAATTTTTTCCCCTTAAATTCCTGAAACGTCTGCGTCACGACACTTGACAAATAAATGTGCGGAGAAAGCAAGCTGTCACGGGAAAACTGACCTTTCGTCATCAGTTCTATGCCAAATATGCAAATTAACTATTTTCATGGACACATCATGTCGACATTAATTTCCGTGTCGATAATAATTAATGGTTTACGACAACCTTATTAATTGAGAGGATAGATTCTGACATGCCAATTTATAATTAATTCAATAAGTGAATGCCGCACAGGGGCAGGTGAAATTATGATGAGCCGATTAATTTATAAAGTCTCGCTTTTACTGAGTGGCTGGCTAAACTGCAAATATTTCATTTCGCAATAACGCAACCCTATTTACATATTCGCGTTAAAAACCAGGCAGTTTTCTTAAGCAATTTCATGTCACGATCGTCAAATGAATATTAAACTGTCAGTCAAAATTTCAAAAAGTATTGACCAACTATGTACCTCTGACAAGTAAGAAAAGCAGATGCATTTAGTAATCACGAGGTTCGAGACTTACGAAATTATTTGCATATATAATCTTACAAAGTAGCAAATTAATTTTCGCACATGAAAATTGCAAGTCAGTGCATTGAAAACAAATTCAGGGTATTTCACGCCTTAAATTTTCCACATTTTGCCATAAATTTCATCCTCCTTAATTACAACATTCGCCTCATAAATTTAAATTCATGGCAAAAAGGACAGTCATAGATTCCTAAACGCTCCAGGTGTCGTAAAAATTACAACAAAAAATTCAAATTGTTGAAATTTCCGGTATGAAAAAAACTTGAAAATATTCACACGTCTTCAGTTTACATATCTTCATTCCACTCTCCTCAACAACCTTTATAACGACGTTTCATCGTCCCAATTTAAATTTATTACTACACGATTTGACAGACATTCTCTCATTCTTTCTCATCCTGAGTAAGCCAATAGGTTCGATTGGTTAACCAGTTTGAGATGACATGACAACACGGCTGACTTGTCGACAGTGGCCGCGGAAGCTGTCGGGACATCTGGGGACATTAACATTGTAGGATAGGGGAGGGATGGGTTTGTATAACATGGACAGATGAAGGGGACATCGAATATTTAACAGTGGGGACATTGTCCCCCTGTCCCCTCAAGCTTTTGCGGCCACTGCTTGTCGACTGTACTGGTGGACTGATAACAAATCCTGCCTGCTTCTCGTCTTGTCTGCTTGACTGGTTGGTTGGTTCGTCTTATCCTTATCTTTTCCCACTTGATTCAATTATTATTCCGGCCTGCACGACAGGACCAATTTAAAAGTAAGTATGTAAACAAATCAACATTTACATACATAGTCGAATCGTAAGAAGGAGAAAAAAGTCGATTTTTTTCTTCCTGGAACATGAGTTATGGGTTACTCCAATTTCATACAATATTCACCATTTATCGAGCCATCCATATCCCACACAGAGAGACTGACTATCCCGACCAGCAGTCTGACTAGCCGATTTTGGGCCAAAATCGGCATAAAATAGGGTTTAGGCATCGCGTAGAAATTAATTACAAATTGGGTCCAAATTTTGTCATATTTTGTCGCATATGTTTTTTTCATTTCATAAATTTTTCATCTCTTAATTAAGGGTTTGCTATATTTCTTGTACATCGAAGCTTATAAACTCACCCAGCTAACGGACAAACTTGTCGCCCAGCTAAATCCACAAATTAAATAAATAATCAAATAGTAATTAACTAATTATGGAAAAACCCGCTGTGGATAAATACCCGTTTACCGGTATGTATGTAAAGCACACATTTTTTTAACATGCCCTGTTTTACCCCGACTCGCCATGTTTATCGGGATATGCCTTCCCCACAAAAAAAACATCGCCCCGCAAATCGCACAAATTAAATAATTAATTAATTAAATAATTAGTTAAATACCCGCCGTGGATAAACCCTCGTTTTGTTTAACCCTGTCTGGAATAAACCACGCTTTTTTAACATGACCAATTTTTCCCCAAGTATCTCCATGCTTATCGGGAAACTCCTCTTCTTCCTCCTCCACCTCCACCCAAAACGAAGACAAACATATAACTCGAAAACCAATAAAGTGCAAGAGAGAGTAGTTTATTTGATTGATTAATTTCACCAAACCAAACTCGAGTAAATGTCATGAATGTCAAGTCAAGAAATGACGGCCAAGTGCGTACAAGAGCTTTTTAACGTGGTCAATAATACCCACGTACAGACATAAGTGAAATATAAGACTTTTCTCATCGTCAGTGCAGTGGCCGCGGAAGCGTTGGGGACAGAGGGGTAATGTCCCCACCTTATTCGATGTCCCCATCATCTCCCCATCTTATATAAACCCCTCCCTCCCCCCATCCTACAATGTTAATGTCCCCCGATGTCCCCACAGCTTCCGCGGCCACTGCATAAAATGTCTCCTTTTTCGATTGGATTGAATTGATACCCACACAATGCGGCTCGCTGTTTGTCTTATCAATCAAATAAAAATTGAGAAGGCAAAAAAAACTTACGGATTTTATTTTGTATCCATACAGTACAATTCCAGGAATGGATTTCGTTTTCATAAGAGTGAAGTTACGCAATAATATCCATTTTTGGTTTGAGCCGGCATTAAATTACCATAAAATCGTGGAGTTTTGTAATATTTGAAAAAATTTGTCTTACTAAAAAGAAATGGGTAAAACTAGATAGCCCTGTAACTTATTGGTCTATTTTTAAGCTAAAAACTA